CTATGTTATTTTGCCAACTGTTTTTGTATAATACTTTTAAAAGTAATTAATTTTCTGTTCGTATACACAGACAAAAAAATCATTTTTCTAAATTTTCCTTAGAGTTATGGATTTTCATTAAATTTTATGCAACGAACACGTACGTGTGTTTTAAATATGTTTAACAAATAATATAGTTAAATATTTATTCAGTATGAAAAATTTTGTTTTCATGTATTTAAATTATCCTGTTTTAATTAAATTCTTTTGCATATTATTTCAAAATAACACAAAAAAAAACGAAAAAAATTCCAAGGATGCTAAAATGGGAAAAAAAAAGAGGAAAAACCTTAATAATTTTAACATACTGCGAGATGTTAAGTTGATGGTAAAATCATGTTTATTTAGAAAATGAAAATGGAAAAAATAAAACAAATAACAGAAGAAAAATCGGAAGAAAATGAATGTTAATTATGCAAAAATTAAATTGGATTTCAAATTTTGTTAATTGGTTATACTATAGACTTTTGTATATAGTTAATTAAATATATAAACGAATATATTATATTAATGTTGCGATTAAATCAAATATTAAATAAAATGAAATGGAAGCCATTTATTTCTCTCCGAATTCATTTGAATTATAACATTCAAATATTGCTAAAATATTAAAAGCCCAGCAAATTTAATTTGTAACCAAATTGACATTTTAATAACTGATAATTTAATAACAAGATTATTGCAAAAGAAGTGTCGTAGTTGTCGCTGAAAGTATACGATTCTTAAGATTCAGATCACTTCTTAACTTACTTATTCATGTATAAAGGCCGAATAAAGTCTCAGAAGTTATCTATCTTCCACGATGAGAAACTTGAGAAATTAGCGCAAACTGCAGCTTCATTTCCCAAATATCCCATTAGTTTCATTAAAATCTTAAGTACGAGTTCAACTAAAGTTAAATATAAAAACTCATAGTATTTAAAAGCGATCATTAAATATGTAATGACATTTTTTATTTAATTAAAGCTTAAAAAAGAACCATGAATTTTAAAGGAATTTTCCATTCAATAAACAAAACTCTGTGGAACAGAAAAATCTTATGATATGAAAAAAAAAATGTACAGGAAACAATCTTGTTCCAGACAAAAATTAAGTAAAAAGAAAAAAATTAAAAATCCTTTTACTTCCTTTAAAAGGATATCATAAATTATTCGGTTATATTCAATAATTCATTCCATTGTATTGCCTTATAATGTTTCGAAATAAAATTTTACATAAAATTATTTTGGTTCCCCAAGTTATCTACCATTTACTTTCCAGCACAAGATATTTATGTTGAGATACTTAAGCGTTTTTTGTTTTAAAATATTCATAAAAGAATGTTAAAATGCATACGAACTTTTGCGAACTTTGAGGTGGAGATTACCAGTGATTCACCTTGAGACTATTGCGGAGGTGGTATATATGGAATATGTTTTTTGTGCCTGTCTGTCTCTGGTATGATTTTTATCTTGGGAGCCTTCTTTTACGAGACCCTGGAGAATCTAATGGGGAAGATTTGACACGGGTCTTGAGCTTCCTTAAGGAGGTTCATTGGTCTCGATATTTGCTTAGGGAATTTTACTTCTCTCTGCGAGAGTTTGTTGACATGAGGGGTTGTCAAATGTTTAACTTGACGACTACCAGTGCATATACCAATGAACTAGTGTATATACCAAGCGTGCCGAGACGGGGCTCTCTTTGTTGGGTTGGCTAAGACTAGCTCTCCATCCAATATCATCGATCTTCTTACTGTTGTTCATATGTCATTGAAATTTGATATTTTTACGTAATGCTGTTCAAATAATCCAGGAGACCAAAATGCACCCTGCTTCACTTTCTAGAAAAGATTTATTTTAATATTTGAAATCCTTAAATTCCTGAATTTTTGGTATACAGTATTCGAGCAATACTTCGCCAGAAAAAAAAAATGAGCAAAAAAAATATATGCAAAATATGAGAGCCCAATACCTTCAATTGAATTGCTCCCTACATTAACTATGGACTGACATATCGCAATATTTTGCGTTGAACAAGAATATATATATATACATGATTATATCACAGACTACTCCTTTGGGTATTTACAAACCCCATACCCGCTCCTCTGAGTTTTTGACAATCTCAATTTCTTATTTACTTTTCTACAGAATGTTCTTGGAATTTGACAATAAATATATGTGTACGAACTCTTTACGACAACAGATTTGAATTCATCACAAATTATATTAAAATTGCAGAACTTGCAGCTCATTTAAATTTCAATATATTGTAATTTAAAAAATAAGAAAAAGTTCTACAATAATAATTTTTTGCAATACATTAAGAGAAATGGAGAGGTCCAGTTATAACATTGTTCAAAGTTGACTTTATTAGTATTTCAAAAACATATTTTAAATTTCCATTTTTTACTCCGATTATAAGTATTCTACTAGAGATTAACATGCTATGCATCTAAATATTTTAGATTCTATTATGCATTTTTAAAATTCTTTTATACTCTCCTAGCAATGTATGGAGTTGAACTATAAGATAGTATGCATCATATAATAAAATATTTGAATTGTAAATTTTCATATGTGAACATACATTTTCTACGTAAATAACAGCTTTATTATAATAAAATTTTTTTCCTTAGTTATTGCTGTCTGCTGATTTAAAAATATTTCATAGTTTTTCTTTTCCTTTTCCATTTAGAAAAAAAAAAAAGAATAATGTTTCCGCCTTAATCCTTTGGATACCCAAAATAAAAGAAAATTATTTTGCATTTTTAAAAGAACGGAAAAGTTTCTTTTTGTATCTGCTGCCTTAAAATGTAACTAAAAGAAAAAGCATTGGAAAATTTAATTTTGTATTTTATCTTCTTATGCGTTAGATCAGTTCTTCATCGACCAGTTCAATTCAACAAGCTCCCATCCTCATTACGCTATCAATATAAATAACAATGGTTAATCATTTTTGAAATATTTGTGAAATTTACCGATATCAAACCGTTACTCAACCTAAAATCGTCCCAGGGACAATTACGTTCTTAAATTCCTTTATGCACTTTTCCCTTTTCAAACTGGAACAGCAAATATTTTCTGAACAAAGGCAACCAGTTCACACATTGATCCGGTGTGAATTCGATGTTTTCGGATAAGCATTAATAATTTCTTTCTGTCTAGAGCATAACTCTTCCCTTACAACATTGAAGCAATTAAAAACCGCAAATCCCTAAAAATATGCAATTTTTTTTAATTTTTACGTTTTCATCAAGAAATGGAATTTAAAATAGAGTTTCATCGAAAAACAAGTCTTTTCTAAATTAATATCTTAAATTACTTCTAAAATTTTGAAATATGCTTTGTAGTGTAAATTTTCAATATAAATTTGTAAAATAGAAAAATAATACTAGGCTATAACTTCGAATAATACTAGGGTATAATTTCTAATACCTTTCGAATGAGCAATGTGTACACAAACATTTGTGCTCTGTTCTGAATATCAAAGGATAATAAGAGAAAAAATCTTAAATTTTATCTTTCATTTTTGACTTTGAATTTGAATTTTCCATTTCTTTTATATTATAAAAATAATGTTAGTAAAACTTCAAAGAATTATTTATGAATGCTATTAAAATTTCTTGTTTTGTACATAATATGCAAATTAATTTTTAATCAAGTTATTCCATCTACCTATACAATGTTTTATCATTTTACTATTTCACTATTAAAATTCAAATAAACAAAATTTATTTAATTTTCTCAACAAAAAACAAAAGTACTAAAAAGTTTTAGAAACATTCATTCTAGGTTGACTTTTAAATTTTTCAAAGATTGATGAGAAAAGCATCATAATCTTGAGCCAACAAAAGCACCTTTATGGAAATTTTAATAAATGAAACACAATTGCATATTACCGCATTCCTGATTGATTAATTTAACATTCTGTATAAGTATTTCAGAATTCTTTAATTCAGAGATTTCAATGTGCACAATGGTGTTGTTTTCAAATTAAAAATTCATACTCATAAACGTGCCACCCTGTATTTGATAGCTCTGGATTGTCACACCTTTTGTTCACTGCAATTTTTAAGTATATTTGCTTAAAATTAAGATTAGATCTAAACTACGGCTTGTATAAAACTACCATATTAATCGCGAAAATATTAAAAAACCCTGCTTTCATGTTCTAGTTAATTTAAAGCACAAGTTTGTCTGACTTAAAATCGTGTAAGAGTGATCCGAAAAATCACTGTTGCCTGAAGTAAAGAGTACAATTTTGCAAATGCAAAAATTCCTATAGGTATTCTTACTTTTAGTCATTATTCCTTTCTACAATAAATATTTTTGTGTTCAACATTTTGTTTGGACTTGCACCTTAGAAAAAAAAAAACAACTTTAAAAATACAATCTAGCAAAGCTATTCGATATGGTTTGGTTCTCAAACAAATTCGAAATTATTTTGTTAAATTTTAAAATTACCATTATTTTTTCTCTCAAAAAATAAAATCATAGAGTTAAAAATTATTGCAATATTTTTAGTATAAAATTAATATTACAAAAAAAAGAGACAAACAAAAGAAAATCATAAAAAATAATAAAAAATAAAAATATTTTTAAACCGTTATAATTTATCTAAAATTCTATTTATTTTTTTTCTCTCTCTCTTTTTTTTCACATTTTTCCCTTTTTACGATTACGCTTGCTGTTACCATTGGAATTTTGGAATAACAACAACCGCTTCAACAAAAATAATAAAAAAAAAAAATAAAACTGTTATATTCATTTTGGGAAATGCAAATTGAAAATTAAAAACGAAAAATTTAACTGTTTATCTAAACAACAACAACAACAACAACAATAATAAATTAAAAAAACGACCATAAAATGGTTAAAATTCACGTAACGAATATAAAATTTATCTGCTTATAATTACATGTACATGCAATATGGAAATATAAAAAAAAAAACTTTTGTTTTTGGGTAAAATATAACTAGATTCAGCCAGTGTTGTGGTTCATGTTATAAATGGAGAACAGCCAGCCGCAATGCAGCATGGTAATAGTAGTGCTAACAGTATTCTTCTATCATTGTATTCATCAACAAGAACATCTAGAGCAACCAGCCATTTACAAAATTTAATGGCAAGACTGAAATCATATTGGTCCTTGTTAAATGTTTTATTATTAATAGCAACAACAACATCAATTAGATGATTACAAAATATTTTAGTTTAAAATTTTATAATAAGTTATAATTTGTATTTAAGTATGTATGTATGTATATATGTAATAGAATAGTGTGTTTATATTTTATATAATATTATAAGTATAATAGCTATTTAAACAATTTTTTTTTATTATTATTTTTATTTCGATATTTTACATTTTATTTTATAATTTAAGATAATAAATTAAATTAATATTGAATTTATAATATAAAGTATAGTGTTATAATAATTACAGGGTGCATTTTAACAAAAATAACTCTTATATTTATTGCTAGAAATTTTAGAATTAATTAGACGACGTGAACAAGAAATTGTTATAATTTTCCTAATACTCCTAAATGAAATCTAGTGTTTTAAAGAATTTCATTTCAGTATCATGCTTGCAAATATTCGTTGATTTTCTTATACAATAATTGAATATATTGTATAGGTTGATTTAGTATAACTTTCTACACTAACAAATATATTTCGTGTAGAATTACACGCTAGCAGAGTTTTCAATATTTGATTTATCAATAGTGACAAGATTGTTCGGATGAGTATTATTCTAGTCTAAATTCGAAAATTTAAGAGTTTTTATAATAATATATAACAGTTTAAGAAACCTTTGCTGTTAGTACTTATTAGATGAAATGCATTAGCACAAATTATGTAATTGATGGTTTTTTAATGTTCTTTAGGGTTCATTATTGATTTTTTACTCCAGTATAACAATTTCAATTGTATAACACTTTTCATTAATTAAGTCAATTTCTTCGAGGGGTAGTGGAAGAAGAAATGGAGTAGAACGTTTAATCCGAGCAAAGAGCTTTCCAAGTAAAAATTATAAAATTTTCATAAAAACCAGCGTTTAGTTAACAAAAAGACTACCAACTATACTCTCTGAATTAATTTGAAGAAATTTGAGATAATTTCATATATAAATTTTCGCATGTTAGTTCCTTCCAACAAAAAAAATTACTTTTATTGAAAAGCACCCTGTATAAAACAACATTAAAAAAAACCTATAGAAATAATTTTATAATAAATTGAAATGTTTGTATGTATAAGTGAAAATTTATGGTATAGACTAAAACAATATATAGAGAAATAATTTGAATTTTAACAGGTAATAATAATAATTAAATAATTAAAAAAAAATATAAACTAAAATAAATATTAAGCGAAATTAAATAAGAATTTAAATTGTAATAATTACGGTTGTAATAAATGAAATTAATGTTCGTAAAAAACAATATAAAAATACGATATAATATTTGGCGAGAAATTATATTGAAAATATATGAGCAGAGAGAGAAAATATGCACATATATACATAATATAGAAAATCGTGATATTTCACACTATTTAAAATTGTTTATAATGAATTTTAGGGTATTAAGAAAAATTAAATGGTTTTTATTTTCATTATTCGTATTAAATCAATGGAAATTTAATGAAAAATTTTGAGAATTTTTCAATCAAGTTATTGCTCCATAGCTCTTAAATTGAAACAAAATATCGACAAATTTAAGAGTCGCAGTTAGAAATCAACACCTGAAAAGAAAACTGATTCGATCAAACAATAATTAATTTAAAAAATTTTGATCAATTATAAGCAGCGCCAGATTTACGATATATGCAAAGTAAGCATTTGAAATGGGCGCCAAAAAACAGGGATGTCATTGCAAATTTTAAAAAATGTAACATTTACCTATACATACATTTCAGAACAAAAAGCTGAATGTTTAATTCCAGGATTTAATTTCATGACTAATGCGGCATTCACCATGATAAAATTACAAGAAAGTGATTTATCGCGTGCAATAAACAATATTTATGGCATATTGCTTACTGCTTCAAGGTTTGAAGCACATTTTTTGGAAATCGCGTAGGGGACCGAAGAAGTCAGAAACGGGCTCGATTGACAAGAATTTTACTTTTATGCATTATTAACTTGCTATTTTTAACTTATATTTTTTACACAATTTTCCATTATTTAAACTATAGTTCTGATTAAAATTGTTTTAAATTATCTAATTGCTTCTATATATCAGTTACTCATAATACAAAAAATCTATTTTAACAAAATTAAAATTTAAAATTTTACATTCTTTAAAATTCAGAATATGTCATATGCAATAAGAATATTTTCAATTTCATTCCATATAATGTAATTATAACATCATTGTATTAAAATTATCATGACAATAAAATATAAAATAATTGATATTATATTTTCCAGATTACAATTTTCACAAACTATAACAAATAAATTTATATAAGTCATCCTTTAAATTCAAGAAATTATGATATTATTTTATGATGCTAAAGAGAAAATTATGAGAATATTATCAATAATAAAACGATATACATATAGACGTATAATTTAAATAGACTATTTAGATGTTATAATCAATTCCATGCAATACAAAACATACTGTAATATAATCATTTCAAATATCACAAATAATTTGTATAATATTGCATTTAAATATTAAATCCTAATATTACCATATAACTTCTTTAATAAGTCACTTTAGTATACATTTGAATAAAATCAATATGGGAATGAAGATATGAAAGTAATAAAATGTTATGATGAACACAACATTGAATGTGTCTGACCCTTAATAAATTGCGGAAATTTTATTGCATATGTCAGTAGTATTCAGTATAATAAGTTTTCTTTATTAATTATAAGAGGAAAACTAGACGGAATTAAAGCCAAATATGGAATTTACATCATAAATGGTTTAAAAATATGGCCCATTTAACTCACTGTTGCTAATCTCCAACTCTCCAACTAGAAATTGAACAAAAATTACATTGAAATTCTAAGAAATATTCAAAGTTATATCATAAATTCAAGTAATATATTTTGTATTAAAGTAGTATATACTATCTTTTAAATATATTGTGAAACAATACTCAATTGAAGGTAAATTTTTATATTTAAACTTTATTCACTGTTTGAGTCCAATAGTACATCCAATTGAAAATAGATTTTTAAATAGTAAATTTGCAATGATTAAGATATTTTAATAAATCGTATATGAGGAATTTATAAATTATCAGAAATTTACGTCCTATATACTCTATTATTCTACATTATTATATCAAAATGTAATTAATAATGCAATTATTTAGTTGCCAATTCAATGTGAATGTGAACCCTTATAATATTGCAATTAATTAAAATTTATTCCAAAATACTTGAATATAACTTTAATCTTGTAAATTAAATTTTTGAAAATTCTAAATTTTACATAATTAAATTCACATTATATACACAAACACACATACATATTTTCATAAATTATTTATAACAATATACTATATAATTTGAAAATCTTAATAGCATTCAACATAATATGGAAATGTGCGAGTCATTACAGAGTCATTTCCTCTTTTTTTTTACCTTTACTATTTTACAAAGTAAAATATTTCAACATTGTGGCCACAAAACTAATTTATAAATAATTTACCTTTTATAATATAAATTTGCTGTCTCTAGAATAAATTTAACCCTACTTTTAGAACAATAATTATTATAATATTAAAAATATATAGAGAAAAGTTTTCCAGTATAATTTCATTATTAACAAAAAATATTATAAATTTTATGTTTTAGCAACATTATGTAAAATTTCCAACTTATGCAAAATAATTAGTAAATTATTTTTAATGAACAAGATTTTACTTTAAGAATAATTTTTCTATAGATATTTACTATAGATCTATAGTAATAAGGATATAATGGTTTTTGGTAATCAATTAAGATTTTGCAAAATTTCGTAATTTTATCTTTGAGGTGTCAAAATTAGAATGATTTTCATTAATAAATATAATATTATTGTAATATTGTAAAATGCAAATGAAGATATTTTAGAATAATTACAATAAAATAATATTCAATTATTTATTTTAAGAATGGAATTAATATTCAAATTTTAATAAAATGGACATTATTCACATATAATATTGATAGGCAGGAACATTGATATTATACAAAAATATTAAAATAAATTAATAAAATTTTAAAATTTTGGAAAATTATTTTAATATTTTCAAATAATTATGTAAGTAAATTTCCAAATAAACTATTTAAAATAGTGACTGACGCATTGGCATTTCAATATTCTTACATAAATTCATTGTAATTCTATAATATTAAGAGCTATTGTATGATATAAAGAACTATAATTTTTAAAATAAGTGATATTTAAGATCATATTCTAAAGAGTTCTATTCTGTTGTTATAGTATTAACATTACCTTAATATTACATTGATGTTGTATGTCCCATTTTCAAGAACAATGGTAATGTTACAACAGGCAGTCATGCTACTTTCCTGTTATAATTCCATTAAATTGAATATTTTTTGTTCTTTATATAAGCTATCGATAACATTTTCCGCAAATTATTTTTCATTGCATAATTTTTTTTAATGACAATATATAATGAATGAGTTTATTTTACATAAGTAGCTATATGGTGATTTAAAGTTAAAATGTAAAATATTAAAAATAATTTACATAATATTATGAAAAAGTTTTATTTACTTGGGTTAATAACTCTCTTATCAACATTTAATTAATATAAAGAGATTATCATTAACACTGTACATACCTACAATATTACGTTATACTCGTACAATATGGAATTTATGATTAATAACAATTATTTAAAATATTTTACTTTGTGCTGGTGATAAGTTAAAAGTAATTTCCATTGATTTATATGCTTATATAAATAATTTATTTAAATACAATACTGATTTTTTCCAATTTATGAGCCTGTTACACAATATTTTATGAAAATGAAAATATAAATTTTACGAACGTAATTGATTTCAAGCGAAAATTTTAAGTAAATAAAAATAAATTAAATATTTTAAAAATTTCAGAATTGCATGAACTTGGAAAAGAATTAATTGTTAAAACTGATAACACTTATATTTTAATTATTAGAAAAACCTTAATATTTAAAGAACTAATTTAAGGATTACGATTAAAAATGAGTAGGATCAATGCTGTCGATTGTCATAAATTTCAATTACTTGAACTGAATAATTTGTGTTTAAAGCAAATTTATTTTTTTTTTTGGCATATTCATTTAATGTACATACTCGTACAGTTCAAATGAAATGTTCCAAATCAAAGCAGTTGAAAATGAGTTCATTCAATTTCGGGCTTTTTTTCGGAGAAATTTTATTTATTAATTTTAATTGAAATAAAATTTCAATTTTTAGTTTAACATATTTTGCTTGTTGACTTACATTATTTCTGATCATACAGACACGTATGTGTGCTTACCGCTGCGGTGTAAAGCCGACAGCACCTGAGTGATAGCCCGTGACTCGACTTTGTTAAATGCGCCCTCAATATCCAGGAAGGCAGCCATCGTATACTCTCTGCAGTCCAGAGATTTTTCAATGTAGTGTATCAAAGAGTGGAGGGCCGTTTCCGTTGACCTTCCCTTACGATGCGCATGTTGTGCCGGAGATATAAGCTTTAGGTTAAGGTTACTCCTTATGTATACGTCCATCAACTTTTCAAATATCTTTAATAGAACTAAGTCTTTATCTAAATATCTAAATATCTTTAATAGACGTTAAACTGATAGGTTTGAGATCCATTGGGCAGCTGTGAGAACTTCTCCCAGCCTTAGGGATGAAGACCAGCTTAGCAACATTCAACGTTTTTGGAATGTAGGTTAAGTCTATACAGCACTCATAGATGATCTTAAGCCAAGGAAGAATGACCTCCGCAGCGCATTGTAGTTCTGCTGGCACTATGCCGTCAGGGCCACCCGACTTAAATGGATCAAAGCCGCGAATGGCCCAGAGTATTCTCCCTTCAGTGATCACTGCTCCCGCGCAGGACTCGCCAAAATAACCATTAGGAGCATGCTCTTCGTGACCTTCAGGAAAGTGCGTATCCAAGAGCAGCCCCGGAGACTCCAAAGCGGAATTGGTCCAGGAGCCGCCAGCAGCCATCAAGTAGCTCGGCACGGCTGGGTCACTTGCCAAGACCCGCCGAAGTCTGGAGACCTCCGTAATCTCTCCAATCCTGCCGCAAAACTCCCTCCAGGACAACCTCTGAGTTCTCCTTAACTCCTTCTTATACTTCCTTAGGTCATATTTATAAGCGCACCAATCAGATGGTGTCCCGGTGAGCTTCGCCTTATTAAACTGAGTTCTACATTTTTTACGAATGGCGTTTAACACATCGGACCACCATTGTGGTTTCTTGTTGCCTCTTATCCGAGTCAACGGCCACGCCTTCCTAGAGGCGCCATTTATGGCTCCAGTGAGCGTAGAAACCATACTGTCGAGGTCCGCAGGCGTCTCAGGACGTGAAGGGTCCCCGGGTCCAAGGAGATCGCTTAGCGAGTCTCGCAACCTTGGCACATCAGTCAGCCTGCGCTTCCTGAAAGTCAAAGGAGAATTAAAGAAATGCTCTTGCAATACTTTCCACTTCGTAACCAAGCCAAAAATAATTTGTGAGGCAATGGTTATGTCTATAATCTCCTGCTTATTTTTAGTAACGAATGTGGGCTCTGAGCCTCTATTACATAGTGTGCATCGCTCCCAATGATGAGACCAGTGCCAAGAGGCCTTCTCCACCAGGTCTCTCAGATTGCTAGGTTGAAGCATCCCCTGGGAATCATAGGACAGGTATACTGAGGCCCACCAGAAGATCCTGCCACCGACCTCGAGACTGACTGCAGTCAAATCTTCATTGAGGCAACAGAAAAGCATTCAAGTTACTTTTAATTAATATGCATGATCTTACCTTTCCGTCGCTGTTGCTATAAAACAGCTTATAGTTCGCCGTCCTGAGTCCGCAGATCCTTCCACCTGCCAGCCAGGGTTCCTGGACCAGAACTATGTCTTCTTCGCCCCTTTGTAGGCGGAGAAGGAGCGCAGCCGATGCCGCTTTAGAGTGATGGAGGTTGATCTGGATTATTCGATGCATTACTGCTTTTGTCAACCCCCACCGTTTTCTCTGCATCGTCGTCGAGGTCCAGGTCCAGCAGGTCCCCCCCCAGGTCGAGACGTCGTCTGTCAGATCCGACCTATCCAGCATTTCTGCTTCTGATGAAAGCGGTGTCTGAACAGACGCCTTTGCCGTATTTAAATTGATTGTGATTAAGGCAGTGGTTTGGGTAATTGCCCTACAACTTCAAAAGCTATTTGGCAATATATCTCATCAATTATTACTGAAGCTATAATATCGAAATTTTGTAGAATCAAATATTTTATTAAAGCTGTTATATATTAATAAAACTAGTTGAAATTTCTTGACTTCTTATTGTTTATTCCATACAGTCTCGAAAGTCATGTATTCACATATTATCGAAACTATGAAATTACAGTGGTGAAATTTTGCATAAACCAATATGACCGTTATTTTCAATAAAATTTCTTTAATATTGTATGAGCGTATATGGTAACATAGATGCCTAAAAGCACTACACATATAAAAACCACGAGTATGTGTTAAACAGCGTGGCAATTAACATGTGCTGTGTCTTAATCATTTTATCGTACCTAATATAGTACGGGTATCATAAAGATGACACGGCCAACTCTACTTATTCTCATTTAAATTAAATTTCAATATAATTTTTTTTTATAAAATTTATAGTGAAAAAATTGTATAACTATAGCCATTTAGACCTTCTTTTTTCGTTCATTTGCTCTATATAAAATTTTTAATGAATATTTTTAAAATAATATTGTTCAATTAAGAAATGCATTTATATAATTTAATTATTATATTGGAAAAATGAACTCAATACCAGTATGTATGTAAAATTTAAATTAATTTATTATATAATAGAAATTATTTTTTTTTAATGGTTTAATTTAAACTCCCAGCTATTTTTTGTTCTTGTTTCTCTTTATAAAACCCATAATTAAAATGAAATGTTAAAAGTTATATACAAAAAAAAATAATCATTTCTGCATATCTATAGGCGCACATATTAAACGTAATTAAAGAATTTTATTTATTTAATTTTATATATTTAATAAATTAATAATAATAATATTGTATATGTGAGCTATTATATTTAAAATGTTTAAATTACTTTTGTTGATATTTTCATTTTATATTAATGAAAATATACTTTAAATTATTTTAATCTTATAATTTAATTAAAATTATATAATAGGTATTATTGTAAAAAAAAATTTTTTTTTGCACTCTCTATATTTTGATTAACAGAAATTTTTACAGCAAGAGCAGCTATTCGCTATTAATGGGTAATTATTGAAGAAAGGACAAAAATATTTAATAATTTCTTTAATTAACTTTTATTATAAAATTTTGTTATGTAAGATCTTAGGTTAAAAATAATTGTACGAGTATGAGGAGAGTTCAAAGACGTTTAAGTGTGATAATTATTTGTAATATTATTCTGATCCTATTACTTATCGCTTTGAATACTTATTATTAGAAGATTATTCTTTTTAGGGATTATTCTAGTTTTGCAAATAAAAATTACAATTATTTGTATTCCGTTCGTTCACATTGAAGCGCGCACATACGCAACTGTATGATCACATACAATTAAGCAATCAAGCAGTTTGGTTTATTTTTCAACGCAATCGATTTGAATTGGCGCAATAGTTTTGTTTTTTAGACGTGCAAGTAGCGATTTTACAATCAAGGAGTAATTGCATGCCTGCCTAAACCCTAATCATAACTTTGAATTTACTACTGACAAATTAAGCTTCATCACCGACACATTAGGCCTTACAATTTAAATTTTAATAATTCTTGGCGGTGAATTACTCTAGAGTAAATTTATTGAATGTTATGGATGTTATACCACAATAAATTAAATTAGAAAATACCAAAAGAAAGAGCAGAATGATAAAATTATCCTCAGCTTGAAAATCTTCTTCGAGCTTCATTTAATTTCTGCTATTCTTCTGTTATTCAACACTCAGTTCTATTTAATTAAGAAATTTTTGTGTATCGGCAACAACATTTCTAATTTTTTTCAAATTTCTTCTCCAATTACATTTATTGAAGAATTGCTCGATTATATTTCAAAATTAATTATTTTTAATTTTAACAATCGTTTTTTTTTTTTAACTTTTACAGCATTCAATAATAAAAATTATTTTGATTCAAAAATTAAAATTTTTTGTTTAAAGTTTTTTTCTCTACCATGTTTTCTTTCATTTATAAATATTTTTAACAATGATAAATTCAATTAACAATTATTAATAAATGGTCCATTAAAAATTTTGTTAGTTTATGTTAATTCACCATAAATTAAACATACAAAAATTAATATTAATATCCGAAAACATAAAAAATTTTTTTTTGTTTTTTTGTTTTGTTGTACATACATAAATTAAATGCATATTTTAATTGGTTAACGATGATTAAAAATTTAATATGAATTTAATTGAAAATTTATGTTTAAAAATTTTTACTCTAGCGGAACAACAGAAAAAAAAAATTCTTAATTTAATTTCTGAAAGGTCCTTAAAGGAAAAATTTTTGGTTTTTAATTGAGAATTTTCATTTAATATCGAAAAAATAATTAATTATAGAAAAGAAAATTTGCTTTCAATATTTCAGTAAAATTTTAATTTAAGTTTATGTTAAATAGTTATTTTGGAAATTTTCATTTAAAAAGAAATTACAATATTGACATAATAAATAAAGAGTATAAAAATACAAAATAATTTATTAATTTTACCAAAAATGTTTAATTAAATATTAATTATATTTAAAATATTTATAAGAAAATAATTAATTATTAAAATAATTTTAATAGGATTTTTTTTATTGATTTTGTGAAAACAAAGAGAATAGAAGTTTAATAATTTTTTTCTAAATTTTTAATAAAGTATTGATAAATTTTTGAGATTTAAAGAGATCAAACTGAATCAAAATTGGAGAAAATTGTAACACGGTGAATTTCTCTATAAGAATATCAAAAAGATTATGTATAAAATGTATTGAACAAAAAATGAATTGGGGACAACCAATTGCTGTTAATGTATTCATACTTCTGCAGCTCAGTTGGTAGAGCGTCTAGGCTCAGTTCTAAGCAGACGGATATTTCTGGAAATAGGAAAAATTGTAAGGTAGTACCAACCAATTTGTATTTTACTTACTTACTGATGTGCAAATCCCCTAGCGGGGAAAATGCCATCTACAATTCTTTTATCCGAGGTATTGTATTTATTTCGTTAGCGAGATGAATTTCGGTAGGCGGGTCGCTCACCCACCGCAATTTGTATATTATTACCTTTCTATCTCTGTAAAAACAAAAATCGTTTCACTAAAATCGAATTATATAGTAAGGGCTCTGGTTCTTAAGCATTTCGAGGTAGAATTTTTTTTTTTAAGTGTTTCTACCTTCGCATCCTCTTTTATGCCGCGTTATCTTTTTATTCTGCAATCGTATGAAGTTATTTTCATTATCTATTTCCACTTAACAGTAAAGTTTTCCAACCTTTCAACAATATTACTGGAACTCTAAAATCTGTAAAAACAACAATTTTCTAACTAAAAAAAAGCGACTATAATAAATCAAACAGAAGGGTCTTGAGTTCAAAGCCCAGTCAGATCACTATAAAAATTATATTCAATATTATATAGTTTCATACACATTACATCATACATATTAGACATATTAACTAATTTCCATATTTCAATAATATCCAATTTTAAAATAACAGCAAAATAAAATATTAAATATCAAAATAATAAACTTAAATATTTAATATAAACTAAGGTAGGCTTGCAACCTACCTAGTAAACTAAACAATTCGTGGTTACCTACAATTTCGTGCACCAGCCCTATGCTCCTTCCAGGAGCGAAGTAGGAATAAAAAGAAAAAAATAATAAATTGAACCAGATTTATAATAAAGTATACGATTCGAATTTAAATTAAAGTATTTCTATAAATAGTTGAAAGTATGCGAATCAAATCATCACAAACACCTAAAAGTATGCAATTTCACTTTATTTTTAATCTTATTAAAATTTTGTAATGAAAATTCAATTTCAATCTGCGAGATCAAAATAATATTTGAAGTATTTTTTCAGAACCTTTTGAATACTATAATTGGATTAATTTGAAATTAAAATTAAAATTCGAAATGAAGATTCTGTCAACTTTAATAGTAATATTTTTGTTTTATTTTTTCAATTCCTTTTTTGTTATCAATCAAAGCGTTAAATTAAACAATAAAACAGAAGCTTTTAAGGATCAAAAAATTAATTTATACGATTACTGTTTTTATTTTCCCATACTTCGTTACGTTAAATGCATATTTTATTAACTGTATATAAGTTTGTAAATTAATTTCGAGCTACTAAAATTTTTTATGCACACTGTTCACAACACATTGCAGTAAAATTTCGGTGTAAGAGTTGCACTTTATTAATTTTT